AGATAGCCTTTAGCCGTCCTGACTTGTCATACTCCCACACAGTGAAGCAGCACACGGGGGCAATGCACTCCCCTTGCCGCCATCTTCTGTAGCACATTCTTTAAATCCAAAATTCTAAAGCTATGGCTTTGAGGTATTGTTTCATGACTTTTCTGACAATGTTCTGAGATTTTAAGAAAGATATTTACTGGTTACGAAAGCTTGAGTAATTTTTATGGATAGAAGTATAAACAATCATTTGTTTTATAATTATTTTTCCTGAAGGAAGGAAGGACAAGGAGAGCATTATGATAGTTTTCATCTAATGGCAGAATATTAGAACTGGATGTAGTTATTGTATAAAACACTATGTAAATACAATAAGATTTTAGAAATTCTATTAAAAATTATTTTCAAGAAACGTTCATAAAATAAAAACTGAAAGTTGAAGTCATTTTAAGAAAAGAGCATTTGAGGTATGTTAGTCAGCTTTTCATCTCTGAACAAAATACAAAGCGAGAACAACTTAGAGAAGGAAAGATTTATTTTGGCTCCTGGTTTCAGAGGTCTCAATCCATGGTTGACTGTTTTCAGGCATAAAATTAATGGCAGAAGGGAATGGTGGAAAAAAGCTGCTCAACTTTTCATGGTGGCTCAAAAGTACAGAAAGCAAGAGAGGAAGAGACCAAGGACAGATATAGTCTCTAAGGCCACACACCCAGTAACCTACTTCCTCTAGCCATGCCCTACCTACCTACAATTATCACTAGGTAGTCCATTCAGATTATTAATCCATCAAATGGATTAGTCCACTGATGGATGAGGTTACAGTCCTTACAGTCTAAGAATTTCACCTCTAAACATTGCTTGTTGCCTAATACATGAGCTTTTGAGGGCTATTCCATATCCAGAACATAACATGAGGTAAGTGATTAAGAGACTTTAGAAGCACCCTTTACTCAGAAAAGAAATACCCATACAGCCCTCTCCTTTGCCTTAACCTTCCTAAATACTGGTAGTGCCTTTATGTGCTGCCTGTCACTTTTATATGGAACACCATCCATACTCCCATCACCCATTAAACACCTTCCTACTCAGTAGCTACCCTACTCTTTGAAACTGATATCCAAATCTACTAGAGTTTGTGCTCTTTCTCATTTTTGCATTTTGCTATACTAATCTTTGCTAATTAAATCATAAATTCTCAGAGACAAAAAATTTATGCGGTCACTTTTATATTCCTGGTTGCCCAGTATATTGCCTAAATGTTCTCTAGAAAATAATGGATACTCATCTAAAACTAATTATATGCTAACTGTAAACTATTCTATTTCAGAATGCAATTTTAGTTAGGGGTTCTGTGTAATGAAAGCATAAGGACTAAATTTTATTTTAATATTTTTAATTAAAAGTTTTCAGTAATTTATATAGATTTTTCCCAGGTTAGGATTAATTGGTATTATCAACAAAATCAAATCCATTTAGCAGTAATGTTTTAGTAAATTTTGGAAGTAATGCATCAGCTGTTTATAACATCATAATAAAACATGGATTATCATCATCTGATTTTTATTTTTTATCAAAACACTTCCTTTTGACAACTTTTTCTTTTTGTGATGCTGGGGATCAAATTACATGCTAATTAAGCAGGTATTCTATCACTATAGCACTGAGATACATCCCTAGCCCCAAAACACTTGTATGTATGTGTGTATCTATATTTTTTATTAGAGCGTTATAGGTATACATAGTAGTTAGTTTCATTTCAACAAATTCATAGACTGACTTATTTCACTTTATATAATGTTCTCTGTTTTTATCCATTTTCCAGAAAATGCCATAATTTCATTCTTCCTTATGGCTGAGTAAAACTCCATTGTGTATATATACAGCAGTTTATTAATCCTTTTATTTATTGATGTGCATTTGGACTGATCCATAATTTGGCTTTTGTGAATTGTGCTGCTATAAACATTGAGATGGTTTGTAACACATACTATGGAGATTTTAGTTCTTATTGATAAATACCAAGGAATGGGATGGCTGGATCATATGGTGTTTCCATTCCTAGTTTTTGTTTCTTGAGACAGGGTCTCCCTAAGTTGCTGAGATTGGCCTTGAATTTGCCATCCTCCTACTCAGTCTCCCAAATTAACTGGAACTATAGGCATGCTCCACTGTGCCTGACCCATTCCTGGTTTTGTGAGGAATTTCCATATTGCTTTCCAGAGTGGTGGTACTAGTCTACAGTCCCACTAACAATGTATGAGTTTACCTTTCCCCCCACATCCTCACCAGCATATTATTATTATTTGTTTTCTCGGTTATTGCTGCTCTAACTTGAGTGAGATGAACTGAGTGTAGTTTTGATTTGCATTTCCCTGATTGCTTGAGATGTTGAACATTTTTTCATATATTTTTTGGCCATCTCTGTCTTTTGCGAAATGTCTGTTGCATTCTTTTTGCTTATTTATTCATTACATGTTTTTTTAAGTATTAAAGTTTTTGAGTTTATATATTCTTGATATTAATCCTTGATATATATTCTTGATATAATTTTGTACCATGCTGTATGCTGTCTCTTCACACTCTTGTTTCCTTTGCTATACAGAAGCTTTTTAGTCTGATGGCATCCCACTTATTTATTGTTGGTTTTATTTCTTGAGTTTTCTTGAGTTTCTCGTTAAGGAAGGCAATGCCAGCACTCTATGTTTTCTTCTAATTGCAAGGTTTCTGGTTTAATTCCTAAGTCTTTGATCCATTTTGATTTGACTTTTGTGCAGGGTAAGAGAGAGAAAAAAAATATATATATATATGTGTGTGTATATATATATATATATATATCCAGTTTTCTCAGCTCCATTTGTTAAAAAGACTAGCTTTTCTTTTTTTTTTTTTAATTAGTTACACATGACAGTACAATGATCTTGACAATTCATACATTTGAATCAAATGGGGCATAATTTCTCATTTTTCTGATTGTACAGGTTGCAGAATTACATTGGTCATATAGTCACTGCAACATTTGTGAGACCTCATCTCAACAAAAAAACCTTTTTAACCCATCTTCTCTCCTCAATTGGATCATTCAAAGATTACCTTAAAAATTAGTTCCTCTACAGTATCTATGATTATCTAAATCTGGAAATGATTTCACATTTTTTCTTAACTGTTAACTGTTACTATCAGAATATGATTTGTGTTAATGCAGGAGTATTCAGAAGTAAAATGATTAGATGATTATGAGATCTGTACTCTAATCCTAATTTGAACAGACTAAGTGAGTGGGAACTATAGGGAGGTGGAGCATAGCTGAAGAAGTGGGTCTCTGTGGGTATTCTCCTAGAGATTATATCTTGTACCCCTGGCTCCTACCTTTTTCTACTTTCTGGATACCATGAGATGAGCAGCTTTCTTCCCCCATACCCTTCTGCCATGATGTTCTGCTTCAGCTTGGACCCAGAGCAATGAAGTAGGCTGACCTGACCATGGACCTCTGAAACTATGAGTCAAAACAAATTTTGCTTCCTCTAAGATATTTTGCTTAAAGCAATGAAAAACTGATTAACATAGTACATATTAGTGGTATATAGCATTTTCTGTGTTTTGGTCTCTTAATGGAAATATAAATTATCATCTCTGAAGAATTCTCGCCAAAAAGAATTCTTGCTGGGTATGGTAGCGCAGGCTATAATCCCAGCAGCTCCCAAGGGTGAGTCAGAAGGATCACAAGTTCAAGACCAGGCTTAACAATGTATCAAGCCCCTGAGCAACTTAACAAGACCATCTCTTAAAATCAAAAAGGATTGTAGGTAGCTTGGTGGTAAAGTGCTCCTGAGTTCAGTCCCCAGTACCAAAAAAACAAAAACAAAAATCAAACCTGAATCTCAGGAGCTGTGGCTTAGGGGTAGAGCACTTGCCTGGCATGTGTGAGGCCCTGGGTTTGATCCTCAGCACAGCATATAAATAAATAAAATAAAAGATCCATTGGCACTAAAAAGTATATTTAAAAAAAAAAAACTTGAATCTCAGCACACCTCTGGATCTAAGTGTCAGTTTGTAGGAAATAGAGAAGTTAGAGAAATGTGTAAAATTTTATGGAGGACATGTAATCATCAAAATTTCCTATAATGTTGGAAACTATAGGACAAATGTGAAAACCTTATTCAGGCCTACCAATTAAAAAATGACTACATTCTCCTTTTTGAAATGCTGGCTTTGTGGCAGTTTTCAGGTACTCTCTTCATCTCCTCAAAGTTCCTAAGTTTAAGAACTTTCTTACATAAGTCAGTGATCTAGCATTCTCAACAGAAATCCTATGATAACTTCTGAGTGACCCATCTTAGATCATGGCCTGTGCCGAAACCAGGCCCTGGCACCAGGCTAATATACCCCCCTCACTAGCTTGGGCCAGAGCTACTTACCTGTTTCTACATTACAAGAATCAGTGATTGACTTAGGCCAGTCAACACCTACCTCTAAAGGGGAAAAAAATAGAGTCATCCTGGGACAGCTGGATGTGTAACTTAGTCCAAGCCAAGAGATCTTAGAATCAGGGGAATCTATAGTGTAAACCTCAGTCTGAGCTTAGGAGAGAAAAAGCTGAATTCCTTCTTCCTCTGTTTTTTTTGTTGAACAGATTATAATGCCCACCCATATCTGGGAGGGCAGGCTACTGTACTGAATCTACCAATTTAATCATATGCTGATATCAACCAGAAGCACCATCATAGACATACTCAGAAATAGTGTTTAATTGAGCACTGCTTGACAGTTCTCACATCCTCTGTACTAGTAACCTGATAAAACAGGTCTTTCCCCCGCTCCAAGCAGGAGGACTGTATTTCAACTCTATTATAAAATTTTCCCTCTGTGTCTAGGAGAGTTAAAGTAAAAATTATGGGAGTCGTGTTGTTGTTGTTGTTTACTTGGATGAAGTTTCATTATTAACACCTCCATGAGGATACTATTAAGCCATCTAAAATGTATTTCTTAGTATGTTTTTACTTTCTGTCTTTCAGGGCTAATTTCGTATACTGAGTATCTTTTCTTGCTTACAATCCTCACTAGTAAGTATCCCGTGATTTTTACAGCAATCTTGTGAATTCTCTCTTCTTACCAAACAGTATTTTTGAAGTTTGACATTTATGTCTTAATCATTAAAAAATACTGGTGCATTAACTTTAGCTTCTATATCTACAAAATGTAAACACTATATTAGATTATCCCTTCTACCTCCCGTGCACCATGGCATCCCAGAACTTTATTTCCTAAATAGAAGCCTTGTTGAACACACGAGTCATAGTTAACCTTCACTTGTGAACATTAAAAACCCTCACCTGACATTACATACAAAATTCCTGACCAGTACTCTTCAAAAGTGTGAAGGTCATAGAGAACAAAGAAAGAATGAGAAACTTCTACAGATGGAGAAGGGTAAGGACAAATGACAACTACATGCAGCATGATATTTGATCCTAGAGTAGAAAAGTAGCATAAGTGTGGGGAACGGGGCAACATGAAATTCAAATAAAGTCTTTAGTTTATTTCATATGGCATATCAATATTAATTTCTTTATCTTGATAAATGTGCTATGGTTATGTGAGATGTTGGCTTTAGAAAAAGCTGGGTAGCAAATCTGTGAGGACTCTTCTACTATCTTTACAATATTTCTTTGAGTTTGAAAAGATTACAAAGTTAAAAGATTTTTTTTAAAACTACTCTGAGAAAGAGAAGTAATCATCATTAGTAATATAGCTAAGAAAATATAAGAAATAAAGTTCTTATATTCTTAATAAATAAGTAAATAATAATAAATAAATAGATAAATAAATCCTTAATAAATAAATAAGCTAATGAAATAAAGTTCTCAGTTAATTTTGCATTGAAAGGCAGAGCTGTAGAGCAGAAGCTCCCATGAAAAAAGTGCTAGACAAAGCAGGGGCAAAGCCTTCACACCAAATATCCACCTTTGAAAATTGAGAAAGAGTACATTGTTTTCTCAGTTTAAGCACTTACTCATATAGTCTCAGATGGCTTGTTTCAGATTTGAGCATTATCTGCAGATAGCTTGCATTTCACCAACATTTACATAATTACTCATTTTTACTTCATTGCAGAACCTCATACTGGGTTTCATGTTGCTTTTAAAATGCTAGATGCAGATGGCAATGAGATGATTGAGAAAAAGGAGTTTTTTAAGGTAAGTAAATAGTTGCTAGTTATTTTAGATTTTCATAAAACACTTGATACTTGTACAATAATTTTTCATTTCTAAAATAATCAAAATTATGGTTACCATTCTGACTGGAGTGAGATGAAATCTTAGTGTAGTTTTGATTTGCATTTCTCTACTAAGAATGTTGAATGTTTTTTCATGTATTTGTTGGCCATTCGCATTTCTTCTTTTGGGAAAGATCTGTTTTAGTTCATTTGCCCCTTTATTGATTTGGGTTTTTTTTTTCAGTGTTGAATTCTGTAATGTATTCTGGATATTAATGCCCTATATGAGAAGGAGGTGCAAAGATCTCTCATTCTTTGGATGCTCTCTTCACACTCTTTTTAATTGTTTCCTTTGTTGTACAGAAGCATTTTAATTTGAAGTCATCCCACTCATTGCTGGAGAGGACAGGGGGGGAAAAGGTACACTCATACATTGTTGATAGTACTGCAAATTTGTACAACTACTTTGGAAAGCAGTATGGAAATTCTTCAAATGACTAGGAATGGACTGACCATATGACCTAGCCATTCCACTTGTTGGTATTTATCCAAAAGACATAAATCAGCATACTATAGTGTTACATGCATACCAATATATACAACAGCTCAATTTATAGTAGCCAACTTATAGAACCAGCCTAGGTGTCTCCCTTAATAGATAAATAGATAAAGAAAATCTAGTATACATACAGAATGGAGATTGCCTCCACCATAAAGAATAATTAAATTATATTATTTGCCAGTGAATGGGTAGAACACATCATGATGTGTGAAATAAGCCATATTCAGATAGTCAAGAAAATATGAATATTTTCTCACATATGCATAAGGAATTTTAACAAAAGAAATCTCACCAAAATAGGAGAACACTGAAGTAGTTAAAGGGGATTGAGAGGGAGGGAGAAGAAATAGGAAAGGGTAGGAACTGCATTCTGACCAAATTATGCTGTATGTACGTACGAATATATCACAATGAATTTCATTTTTATGTGTAACTGTAATGCAAAGCAATCTGAATGTAGACTCCTATATTTTTTTTTCCTGCCTGTATAATCTTACCCTAACCAATTAGAAGCACTTTTTTAGCAATGTACCTTTATCACACAACTATAATGTTCAGAAATACCTCTATTCAGGGCTAGGGATATAGCTCAGTTGGTAGAGTGCTTGCCTTGCCTGTACAAGGCCCTGGGTTCAATCCCCAGCACCACAAAAAAAAAAGAAAAGAAATACCTCTCTTCAGTCTCATTTCTCAGAAATGTAAGTAGTTGTGTTACTTAAGATTGGGCTACAGATAGGAAGAAACTAAAATGCCTCCTATGCACACACACAGAGGTGGGACAAGGGAAGGACTGAAAAATAGACACAGAACTTTCATATTTAACCAAGAAACATAAACTCAGTGAAGCACGATGTTGCCCCCTAAAACAGGACCAGGTGCAGAAATCTCAGCATGTTCTTTGGCACTGCAGAGTGGTCAGGCAGGGCCAGATAATAATGCTGTGCTTCTCTAACGTAGAGCCTTGCCAGACCTAAGAGACTTAATTTTATTTATTTGGAGTTTATATCACTCTTCAAAAAAAATTATAGTCTCTCTGCTTAACACTTTCATTTCAGGCTCTTCTGGTTTGTGTAAGTATCAGGTGGTTTGGGGCTTTTTTGTTTTGTTTTTTGGGTTTTGGGTTTTTGGGTTTGGGGGGGGCGTTGGAACAGGAGTTGGGGGTACCAAACCCAGGGCTTTGTGAATGTGAGGCAAACACTTTGCCACTGAGCTACATCCCAGCCCTACTCTGGTATAGGTCACAAAAGAAATCCAATGTCTCAATGTCTCCAAATAGTTAAGTTCTGCCTCCAACTTTCTAGTGTTTCCAGAAAAACATATTATTTTACAGTAATAATAAAATCAACTATTATAAGAGCAGTATTATAATGGCAAATTCAGTAAGCAAATTGGTGTGCAAACACAAAACTTACACAAATATTAAGCTTAACTGCCAGGAGCCAGAGTGCAAACCTGCTTGAGATTAGCCAACAGCTTTAAATGCACAGAGCCTTTTAAATGAAGCTAGTATGGCTGAGAGAATTGAGTTTTTAATTTTTTAATTAATTTAAAATTTAAATTGAAACACTGACATTTACTTTAGTTATTGGGAAACTTAGTATGAAACAAGTTGGGTATGTGAATCTACTTTTTCAATTGTAAATTTTATAAAATCTAAATAAAGATTTAAGTTTTTCCAGTGGAAATCTGAATTGAGACATCCTATAAATATACAATATATATTGGCTTTGGAAGGAGGAGGAAAGAAATGTAAAATATTCTTGTTTTTATATTAATATTTGATGAAATAATAATCTGAATTAATTAGTTTCACCTTTTTGTTTGTTTTACTTTCTTTTTTATTTTTTTCAGAGGGAATGGTACTGGGGCTTATGGGGGCACTTAACCTCTGAGCCACATCCCCAGCCCTTTATTTAGAGACAGGGCCTCACTAAGTTGCTTATGGCCTTGCTAAATTGCTAGGGCTGGCTTTGAACTTGGAATCCTTCCTCTGTAGTATAACTGCTTAGAAAACTTATATTTCTTTTGGTCAGAACTACTTCAAGATTATAGACTGAGAAAAATTTTTACACAAATTTTATTACATGCCCTTTATGACAACCATTCTAAATGCTAAAAAGATTTTTGTACTCCGGGTTTGCAGCTTAAGAAAGAAAGCTTAAGAAATTCCATTGGATTGACGTTACATGAAATATACCTCTGGATATATGAAGTTTCACTGTACTATTCAGATAAGAAGGTAGATATATATATATTTAGTTGTAGATGGACACAATAACTTTATTTATTTATTTTTATTTTATTTTTACTGAGGATTGAACCCAGAGCCTCATACATGCGAGGCAAGTCCTCTATCACTGAGCTACGGCCCCAGTCCCCCTAAAAAGGTAGTAATCTTATTACAGAATTCATTTTCTCAAAGTGGTAGAAGTTAAATTTAGTAGAAGGCTATAGAGAAAACCATACTGTTTAACTACTTGAAGAATATGTGAATGTATTCAAAAATATATGTAAGAGATATGGTTGTGAAAATATTTGTTTCATTAGAAAGTCAGTGTGAGCAAATGCTAGCAAATGTAGATATTGCTAAAGAAGCAGTGTGAATAAAGTTTATCCTATCAAAAGCAGCCTAGAATTCCTTCAAGGGTTGAATATACATATATGAGTAGACTAAATGGAAAGAACCAAGAATTTCAGATATTATGGCTTTTACTCAGAACTACAAGTAAAAAAAAAATAATACTCAAAAAGTAAGGAGGAAAGGAAATACTAGACAGACATAAGTTTATCTTTGAATTCAATTGCATTCATGCTGAAGAAAGCAGAAAAATATGAAGAGTGACTAGAAAGAACATTATTATTATTTATTTATATTCTCTTGGGGACTTTAGTGTTACAAAATTTGAAACTTTTGTAGCAGCATTGCTGCTTTTGTACAGCATAGCTAAAGTGTGAACCTCTTTCAGCTGTTTATACCTAAGAAGTAGGATCTCTCATGTGAACTGTACTGTCAGGAAAAACCAGCAGACAGTTATTACAGACTTAACAATAAAGAGTTAATCACACTTTTGTTAATATTTTAACAATTAAGAATTAATCACAGTCTTCCAAAATCCATCTCTGGCTGCAGTATGGAAAATGAATTAAATGAGATTGAAGGCAGGGAGCCTCCCTATGCTATTGAAATAGTAGAGTTTACAACTTTGGGAAGGATGAAATACAATCAGGAGTTATTATGGAATAGCTTCTGTAGGACCTGGCTTCCATTTAGATTAATGAGGGGAAAAGCAAAATTAGTAGGCAATCCTTTTCCCAGACTACCTACTAGGAATAATGATAGCACTCATTGATCAAAGAGAAGAGTCGTACTTGATTGAGGATTGGTTGTATCTGACATACACAAAATAAAGATGAGCAAATTGATATGCAGTCAATATTACAGCCATAATTTGAATCCAGGGCATCCACTTTTAGAACTCTGCTCTTTCCTCAATGTCTACCTACCTCATTTGAAGGAGAATTCAGAGAAACACTGGGTTGAGAAAGATCTTAACTCTGAACTTGGAAATGTTAAGCTTGATAAACTAGTAGGACATCCCTATAGAGAAACAAATATAGTTGACTGACTGGAGATTCACCAAGAATTCAGCCAGGACTGGGAAACATTTTCATAGAGGTGGTAATTAAATCATGAGACTATATGGCCTCAAAGTGAGAGAATGTACAATGAAAAGGAGTAAGACCAGTCCTGGAACAGTATCATTTACAAGGTTCAAGCTGAAATCAACAAGGAACAAAATAGTAAGCAGAGTGAAGGTAATCAAATCTTGGAAAGAAAAGAGTAACGAAAAAAAAAAAAAAAGAGTGTTTAAAAACAAACTCTTTTTAGGGTTCAATCCTCAGCACCACATAAAAATAAAATGAATGTATTGTGTCCAACTACAACTTAAAAAAAAATTTTTTTTAAAAACTAAACTCTTTTAAAAGTGGCTTAATAGGATAGAGACTGAGTAGAGAGCCCCTTAAATTTTGTAGGTCAGTAGGAAGCATTACAGAATCATTTCAAAAAGAATGGTAGGGATGAATACCAAGAAACAAAGTGCTGAAGAGGAGTGAATGGAAGTCCAAAACTGGTAGCTGTAGATAAAAAAAATACTCTTTTGCAATATCTAATAATTAAAGGGAGTTATTTAAGTTGAGTCTAAGGAAAAAGATGTGTTTGCACAAGCTGAACCTGAAATACCAGTACCATTACTTTCTAGTTATCTCAGGGCTTCAGGGACAAGAAACAGATTTTTGACATTATTCAGGTAGAGGTAATTCATATGGAAAGATCATAATGCATAAAGGTGAGATTCTTTTAGGTTAATTAACCTGTTAGAATTTGTGGGTACCATTAATTTCCCTAGACTTGGGTG